ATCCATCCATCCTCTATCCATCCATCCTCTATCCATCCATCCTCTATCTATCCATCCACCCATCCATCCATACATCCATCCATCCATCCATCCTCTATCCATCCATCCTCTATCCATCCATTGCGTTCCTCCGCCTGCACCAGCTGAGGAAAGCGAGCGTGCACGGGAGGACTCACTGTTGCAGTTCTTAGAACTTTAACGCGTCAGTCAAAAATTGCGTTATGAATATGGGAAAAAAGCATACAAGTCGCTTCAACCTATAAGTTGCAGGACTGACAAATCTATGCAAAAACAGCGACTTATACGCCAGAAAATATGGTACATGAAAGTTTTCTAGTTTTTATTTATACGTTCTGTTGAAGTGAACTGAAGCTGGCAGAAAGTAACGTGAATTTTCTGTTCCTTCCTTTCCAGGATAAAGCACGAGAATATAGTGGCTCTGGAGGACATCTACGAGAGCTCAAATCACCTGTACCTCATAATGCAGCTGTAAGTACATGAACCCACCTCGCTGTTTGTTTAGGTCAGCTGCTGGTCCCCCATTTGTCCTGTCATTTTGATAATGTGTCGTGCTCTGAGCCTGAGTGAGTGTCTGTAATGTCCTTCAGGCCTCTAAGTGAAGGTGGCAATGTTTTAAAATGGAATAAATCTTTATTTCAACCAATGTGGCCGCAGAAGACAGGCTAAATAACTCAAGTGATGCTGAAACTGACAGTATAGTCTGTCCATTCTGATTCTGATTCTGATTCTTCCCCCAACAGTAAACTGTTGGGGGAAGAATCAGTTTTGTTGTGTTTCCTTGACTGATGAAGTCTTCCGGATCGAAGGCGAAACGTTTCAGCACAAAAAAAGAAAAGAAACTGTCCAGATGACCTGACTGAAAAACGTTGGGTAAATTGACAACGTATTTTTCGCTGTGCAAGTGGCAGTTTTTTGCATAAATTTGCAAATCCTGCAACTTATACACTGACGCAACTAATATAAATTTTTCTCATATTTATGACCCAATTTTTGGCTGAGATCTGACAATTTCCGTCGTTCTGACATGGAAAATATTGAACACTACCATTTTCAGCCACTAGAGGGGGCTCAAGTAATATGGCAAGCCAAGTGTCTCATTAATAGGTAAAAGTGGCTATTAATGAGACACTTATCTTGCCATAACAAACCACCTTCGTCCTGGAGCAAACGTCAAATCAGCTGCATTTCACCGCGCCGTCCAGGTGAAATGCAGCTGATTATACCATTAAAGTGCATTTATTAAGGAAAAGTTCGACTGAGACGCACTTTACTATAATTTCGAGCAAACAAATAATTGTTTGTAAGTGCTAATCTTGTTAAATTCTTGTTAAAGTCCTCTCGTGCACGCTCTCGCAGCTGCTATTTAGCAGCCAATAGATTTTTGGCACAGCACTGGTCCACGTTTCAGCGTGGTCAGCGGTGATGCATAATATATACAACCTATACGGTGAAGTGACTTATTTATGTTTTATTCCACTTTATTAGACATTTTTGGACAAATGCGACTTATACGGCAGTGCGACATGTACGGCGGAAAGTACGGTAGATTGTTGTTGCTAACTTAATTCAAGATGGCCACCCCAGCTAATCGATCTTAGTCAACACAAAAAAGTCTTCAGCTGAGTGACACATTAGACATCGAGCTAAAGGCTGTGGTTGTAGCTGCGGGTCATATTTGAGCTGCAGCTGGTTTGTGTTGTTGTTCTCTCTTGTTTTCAGTGATATAATCCTTTTTTTAAATTTGCACGTCATTTATCAACGATCTTGTTAAATGTATGTCACATTCTGTGGCTCGTTTAGCAGCTGTTTCTTGCCAGCGTATTAATTTGTGAAGCGTATGTTGTCACGACCCTTCGCCTCGCTGCATAATTTTACCACGCAATAATTTTTGTTTGCGACTCATGCACCTACAGTTTAGCTGGTGACTATCTGCTCCTTTCTTCTCTGAATGATGCTCCATGTTGCCTTGAAGTCTCTCTTGTGTAAACCCTGAACACGAGACTTTCAGCAGGCACGCACGTAAACCTGATGCTCAACTTAAGGAGTCGCTTGTTGTTCCTCTGCTTCTTCTAATTACAGTTCAAACAAGTTAGAAATGCCTGGAGCTGTGCACCAAACACTGCATATTTTAAAAATGTTTGAAACGAAAATTGAAAATAAACCATCAACGTGTGCAGGAAGGAGATGGGAAGACTATGTTATGAAGAAGCTGGAGATGTTTTCACCAGTCTGTTGTGGCAGAGGCCATCTTCTGTGCCGTGGTCATAGGTGTCAGGCATGCCGGCTTTATATACTCCTTAAAAACACTGGAAACATCATGTGATCAAACATAGAGACATCTGAGTTGGTAGGAGAGATGGGATCACTGAACAGACTGCTCTCCATCATGGACAACCAGTCCCACCCCCTTCATGACACCCTATAACAACAGCAAAGCTCCTCTATGAACAGACTCACTCAGCTCTGCTGCCACAGACACCGCTACTGGAAGTTATCCTGTCGTTTACAGTTTCACTTCATATCAGCTCGTCTCGAACAGATTCATTCAACCTTTATTTAAACAGGTTAGTCCCACTGAGCCACAAGGACTCATTTACAAGAGAGACCTGGAACACCAGTGAACACCAGTAAACTTCTACCAGTACACAACAACTGTAAAAACATTATTCTGCCATCACTTCAAAGTGCTGCAAATTGATTCATATGATTTTTGCATAAAGCCAAAAGCCAGATGTAAAGAAAAAATTGCTTTTTTTTAGTGTTTTTGTTATTATTGTTTGCAGATGATAGTAACTCATCAGGGTTTTCTTAAAAATTGTGTTAGAGAACAGAGAACTCTTCTTTGTTTACAACTAAATTCACCGATCTCTTATGGAAACTCTCCATTTGAGTTTGCAATATCTCGGCTCAGCTTATTTGCAAATGATCTTGGCCTCAACTTGTACTTTAACGTGCTTCACTGCTCCATGTCCTCCTCCAAAATGACTTTGTCGCCTCTTGTTCTTACAGCTTTCAGTCCCCGTTTCTTTTCAGATGAGAGAACTTTACCTTTTTGCTTTCAGCCTGGTGTCTCTGATTTTAGTGTACTTATTGTGTTTGAATGTAAACAAACAACTCGTAATTGTTGGTCTTTATCATAGATGTACAAAAGTTCAAATCAAAACACTGAGAAATTGTAGAGAAATTGAATATCTTGGCTGCTGGTGTGTTTTTAAAACTTTAACAAGCAAAGTGGTGACGAATTACATTTCTTAAAAGACTTATCTTTTTATTGTAGAAGATTTTGACTAAGTAGATCGTTATTTATCAAAATTTATTGTCCCTTGTATTTGATGATTTTGGAAGAATATTTTGCCCTCCAAGCAAAAATACAATAACATCTCATTATGTTGTGAAGTGTTTGTTGTTGAACAACTCTTTTATTTACAGCACAACAAAATATTTTCACCTTATTGCTACGTACATACTTAAGATTCAAAAACATTTGTTTGGTTATCTTATCACATTGTTACAATCGGGTGATTCTAGGATCTGATCTTCAGGGGTGCTTAGCCCCCAGTACTGACAATGGCTCTTGGACTGAACAACGTACCCCAGGATGTAGTTTGTGAGAAGTGCAGAAACTTACAGCACCTGGTATTCCCAGGTGGTCTCCCATCCAAGTACCGTATTTTTCACCCTATAAGTCATGTTTTTTTGCATAATTTACATGCCCTGCAACTTATACGCCTAAGCGACATATTGGATTTTTCTCCCGATATTTATGAACCAATTTTTGGCTGAGATATGACCGTTTTCATTAATTCTGAATGGAAATATTGAACACTACCATTTTCAGCCGCTAGATGGCACCAGAGTTGTATGGCATGCCGTTGTATCATGTAATAGGTAAAAGCGGATATAATAACAAATTCAAAATAGTTCAAGACAAAAACAACTGGACTTTATATATTATACTTTATTTTATGCTATATTGTTTATGTCTTGAACTTTTTTTAATTTACCATGTCCTGGCTGACTGGGAACCTTCACCAGCTATTAATGACACAAACGGCTTGCCATTGTCTGCCACCTTCGTTCTTCTCGCTGCTTGGAACAACCGTCAAACCAGTTTAATTTCGCTGCACCGCCCCGGCAAAATGCAGCTAATTTGACCATTAAAGTGCATTTATTAAGTAAAAGTTCAACTGAGACACACCTTTGCTATAATGTTGAGCAAACAAATAATTGTTTAGGTGCTTTTCTTGATAAATATTCAAAGAAATGCGCAGCATTCCTCCTTCCTGATTTCCTCCCTTTCTGCACACTCCCGGGAGCACCAAGGCAGCGAATACTTTTGAAATACAGTTGATTTGACCGTTAAAGTCCTTTTATTAAGTAAAAGTTAGACTGAGACACATCTTTACTATAAAGTCGAGCAAACAAATAATTGTTTTTAGGTGTTTATCTTGTTAAATTATTCTTGAGTTCTCCCATGCGCGCCCCAGCGGTCGCCATTTGGCAGCCAATCGATTTTTGGCACAACACCGGCCCACAGTTACGGATTGTCAACGGTGACGCGTAACAAACGCGACGTGTCAGCGGTGTCGCATAATAGATGCGACGTATACTGCGGTGCGACATATTTATGGATTTTTCCACTTCATTAGACATATTTGGACTGATGCAACTTATAGGGCGGAGCGACGTTTACGGTGGAAAATATGGTACTAACGAGGCCCGACCCTGCTTAGCTGCTGAGATTGGGCGTGTTCAGGGTGGTATGGCCATAAACGAGGAGCTCAGTCACAAATAGGACTTTTAAAGGATCATAACAAAGACTAAACTTATGCAACCAGAATTTACAACATATATCTACATATAAAACACACCAGCTTCAAGCATTAACCTTTAATTTAACTAGTAACCTTTGTAATGCAAAACCCTGAGAATATTGTCAGAGGAAAAGGGGGTGGAGCTCCTGCAGGTAAGGGGTGTTTACCTTCGGGACAAATTGAGGTCACCGATTGGTCAGTTGCTGATGAGCCTGCTGGACTGATTGACAGGTGGTGTTGAGGAGCCGACTCGTGCAAAAAAATCATAGATTTTACTGGACCATTTAAGAGTGTCATCATTTATTCCATATTTATTAAATATTTGGATGAATCTAAGATTGCAGAACTAAGCTTTCTTACAGAATCCTAATGATGGTTTCTTTATTTTCTAGAGGTGCTGAGTTAAATTTTAGGGGTGCTTGTGCACCACCAGAAAGAAGCTAAAATCACCACTGGTTACGATTATAATGTGTTAAAACTATACATAGTAATAACAATATGTTTTTAAAAATGTATTTCAAGAACAAGAAAATATTACACAATACCATGTGAAAGAAACTTAGTGCAATTAACTTTATACATTAAACATGATAAGTTAATTCCTTTAATTTTATTTTCGTCGTGGCAGCGGTGTTCTTCCGTAGCTGTTTGACAGTTTTCAGCTTTAGATGTTTTTGCTTCTGTCGTGTCACTTTGTGAAAATGTATTTCAGATGACATAAAGCTGGTTGCTCTCTGTGTGCTAACAGCGTGTCTGGAGGGGAGCTGTTTGACCGAATTGTAGAGAAGGGCTTTTACACTGAGATGGATGCCAGCCGGCTCATCCGGCAGGTTCTGGATGCAGTCAACTATCTGCACTCCATGGGCATCGTGCACAGAGACTTGAAGGTAAAACAGCTTTTCATATTCGGATTTAAGCATGCATGTGTGGCCGATGTGCTTCTGTGCACCTGAGAGGGGAAATCCCTGAAAGTCGCTGTGTATGAGTGCTTCTACATGTGGTGGTGATCACCCACGGAGGTAAATGTCAGGGATTTCCTCCTCAGTAAACTGTGAAAGGCTCTCGACTGAGCTGTGAAAGCTCTTTAAAAGACAAATCCGTTGTCTGACATCCTTACTGTCTGGATGAGTTAACTTTACACAAGAGAGGAAAACCATAGAAACCCAGACTGACCTTTTGTCTGTTTCCTCTTTTTATTCTCAGCCTGAAAATCTGCTTTACTTCAGCTCCGATGATGACTCAAAGATCATGATCAGTGACTTTGGCCTGTCCAAGATGGAGGGCACAGGGGGTGTGATGGCCACGGCCTGTGGGACTCCCGGATATGTGGGTGAGGGTGTCCTCTGAGCTCTGGCATTTGTGGAAACTTTAATTATAATAATAATAAACTTTATTTCTATAGCACCTTCCAACAACGCCTTGCATTGACCAAGGTGCTTTAGATAAAACAAATAAAAACAGGACACAAAAAATCAGTGCAAATTAAAAACACAGCCAGAATAAAAGAAGGTAAAAGAGATCAAAAATGATAAAAATTAAGAGTTAAACATTAAAAGCCCAAACGTTCTCTGAGATAATTGGATACTCTGGTAAAGTAAACACAACCCAGTTAAACCAGTCTCCAAAGGTTAACCGTCTGCTTCAGGCAGTCCAACTGATTTTCATATCCCTCTCCAGCCTCTGAGTCATGGTGAAAACGATCAAGAGAACTGTTAGCTTTGTTCTCCAACATGAAAATCAGCCTTTCTAATCAATGACTGTTTTTATTATTTCAGCTCCGGAGGTTTTAGCTCAGAAACCGTACAGTAAGGCAGTGGACTGCTGGTCCATTGGGGTCATCGCTTACATTCTGTGAGTACTTCTCCTCGACTGAACTTTAACCTGTCTGTTTGGTGCGTGTTTTATCCATCCATTATCTTTACCTGCTTCTTCCATTTTGGGTCACGGGGGTCGCCGGTGCCCACGTCCAGCAATCACTGTGCGAGGGGCGGGGTCCACCGTGGACGGGTCTTCAGTCCATCACAGGGGCGCATAGAGACAAACGAGACAAACAACCATTCACTCTCTCACTCACACCTAGGGACAATTTAGAGTTACCAATCAGTCTAACATGCATGTTTTTGGTCTGTGGGAGGAAACCGGAGTACCAGGAGAAAACCCACGCATGCACGGAGAGAACATGCAAACTCCACCCAGAAAGGCCCCTGGACCGGGGTTTGAACCGGGGACCTGCTCGCTGAGAGGCAGCAGCTCTACCAGTTGCGCCACCGTGCTGCCGGTGCGTGTTTTAGTTAGTTCTAATTTACTCAAAAATCAAACTCAGAAACAAACAGGAAATCTTCAGACAGAAGAAACGGCTTTAATGAAGAAAAAGAGCTAAAGTTAAAACTATAGTTAGGCCTGTACAATAACAAATTTTGCTGGGCGATTAATTGTCTCAGATATTGTTGCGATAAACGATAATATTGTTTGAAATTTGACAATAATTAGTAATTATTGTCAAATTGAAGAAGAAATGGTGGTTAATTTTGTGTGTAGTACCTTTATTGACACTGGATGGCAGTATAAGGCTGTTTGAACCGAAGGATGGATAGTGAGGGAGCGAGCAGCGTGTCTCTTTAAGAAAAATGGGATGGAGGCCCCTTGACGTGACATGGGCTGTCTCTCTTCGGTTCTCAAAATGGCGGACGCTCGGTGTGGTTTGAGCTCTTTAGCATTTTTCACACAAAGCTTTTAATAAAAAAATCAGTAAACAAGTTCTCAGCTTCTTTTTGCAGAGAAAAACAACTTTTTACACGAGTTTCAACCGTGAATTTTGGAGCTTCGACAAGACTGAGGTTTTTTTCCCTGAGGTCAGCCTGTTAGCTTAGCTCGTAGCTTAGCTTCTCAGCTTGGCTGCTTTTAACCATCCAAAAACATGATTTTGGATGGTTAAATGGATTTTAAAGAGAAAGGGAGGGGTCAGTGAAGAGCACCGGAGTTGAGTCTTTTGTCATCCAGTGTCTTCAGTAGAAAGAGAGAGACGAGGAAACGATAAAGCTGATAAATGAGAATGAGGTTGATCATTTTACAAATTAATTTATCATGCGATTAATTTATTTATTGTCTATCGCGACAGGCCTAGCTATAGTTCAGATGTGCTGGAGTGGGGTTCTGTGGAAGGGCTTTGAACAATAAAGCATAGTTATTTATAGGATGAGAAGGGTTTCCTGAAAGTGCAAATAGTGGCAGCAGCAGCTAGCTGTAGCACTTTTGATGCAATCTGGAGCACTTCCAAGAAGAATATGGTAAATTTCTGCTGGAATATCATAAAACTGGAGGCCATGTAAATGTGTTATGAAGTAACTTTTGCTTGCACCGCTACAATACTTCAAGGATTGGAGTTGTTTTAAGCAAACATGTGTGACTAGCTGTCAAACTGTATTTACGAGGGAGTCTCTGAATGTCCTGCGATGTTTGTGATACTTCTCAGTTTCCTCGCAAATCACAAAAGTCTGCAGTTCTTGATTTTTGTACGTTTAAAAATGTGTGCAGCAAATTTTGCCCTAACGTAGTCTCAGATTGGAGTCAGGCGTCTCCAACCCATCTGCAGAGCTGTGTGTAGACTTTGCACAGGAACGCTCCTTTGACAGAAAATATCCAACAAATGTCTGGCTCTAAAAAACACACTTGTTTGTTTGTTTGTTTGTTTGTTTTCGTTCGGCTGCTCCCTTCTTCAGAGGTCGCCACAGCGTGCAACGAAGACTTGGGAGTTGTTTTTCTGCCAAATGCCCTTCCTGTTGCAACCACAGACCACCGAGCTACTGCGTCCCATATGTGTGGAGCAGAGAGCTGCTATCTAGGGCACCCAGGGGAGCAGATGGTATGAGGGTGGAGGCAGGTGTGGGTGCTTCACCTCTCCCACCTACATTTAGATATTATGGTCAAGCGGATTCAAACCGGTCAAATCAAACGTCTTTAAAGACGTTTGGTTTTAAGACTTATTAAAGATTACTAATTAGACTAATTAGGATTATAAGAGTCTCAATTCTCATGACAGTTCTATGAAATCTTACAAATTAAAAAAATCAGACCTGACGACTGAGCAAGAAAAAAAGAGAACACAATGAGAACGTCGTCAGGATTCCTGCTTGAACGTCACATATAATCAGTTCAAAATGTCACGTCCATCAGCCTCATTGGTGTTGGCTACAATGTCATAAATTAATCTAACAAGTCTCTATTTTTTAACCACTTTACATTCAGTTAAAAATAATCAAACAAATAAACAGGAGGCCCGAGTTAGATTCTGTGTTCGAGCCCATTTGTTAGTAACTTGGTGCAGGACGAACTGTTGGCAGCTCAACAGATCCATCATACGGAGCTGAAGCCTCTCAACACACAGCGTTACATAAAACTGACAACCTAATTAACCAAAGTCACTTGTTAGCAACGAGAAAATCCCTGGTGTCTCTGTCCATGTGTTATGAGTTTAATGCTGTTTGCCTGATGTGCTCACACATAAAACCTTTGTCGGAGTACTTTTTCCTTTTTTAATGAAGTCTAAATGAACATCATGGATTATTGCTCGTGTGCATTTGACATGCCCCTTTCCTCCCATCTATTCTGTTGTCGTTGAGCAGTTTTGTTTTTTCCCATCTGATAATCCCTCTGAGCTGTCTCCTGTTGCATGCTTTACTGCCCAGTAAATGAGACCAGGTCGCAGCGAATCCGTTCAGATTTTTAGAGACTTCCTACTTCTGCAGGATGAAGACTTTTGCACAGGCTTATGTAATTTTCCTGCTTTGTCTTCCCAGGCTTTGTGGTTACCCTCCTTTCTATGACGAGAATGATTCAAAGCTGTTTGAGCAGATTCTCAAAGCAGACTATGAGTTCGACGCACCGTACTGGGACGACATATCAGACTCTGGTAAGCTGTGACAGGGAGGGGTCTGCGTGTGTATGTGTGTGTGTGTGTGTGTGTGTGTGTGTGGGGGGGGGGGGTTATATAATGTTAAAATAATTTGGAAATCTTTGCATTCTACTAATCATTAAGTTCCTCGACTCTGCTGAAGCTACATTTAAAGCCTGTTAGGAGCTCTGAGACTGGCAGAAGTAAATACGTTTTGGGGGTGACCTAAAGTCCAGCAGGACGCAGTTGCCATGGCAACATTTTTACTATCATATGACTGTACACCACATTTGCAGGCAAATTTCCTAGGAATGCATATTGTGTGTTACCTGCTCCATAATTAGTCTTCAGTTTCTAACACCGTCTCGTCTCTGCGTCTGATTCATGAAACAAACGGCACTGATTCTACGCTGCAGCAAACATGTCTGTTGTCAGCAGGTGAGAACAATTTGCACTCATTTGTTAGTGTGAGATTGTGACAGAGATCTGTCATCTGACTTCACAACCAAACTACGACCGTCCAGCACAAACACATCGAGCAAAGAAGTGGCCGAGAGAAAAAGAGTTTGTAGCTTTGATAATAATCCTGACGTGCTGTTGCCCTCTGTTTGTGAGGGCAACAGCACGTCAGATCGCTAAACGTCCTCCCTTTCTTCTTCAGAGACGTGGTTGCCACCAGCGCTCAGGAGAAGTTAAAAATGTGATCCAGCAGCGCTGGTCTTTGAGAGGTTGACACTTTTCCCCCTGGTAGTTAATTCCATAAATATGGGGGGGTTGTTCCTCTAAATGCTGCTTAAAAGTTCTTTAAATGATCTGCTCCAACACGAAGCGATGCCGAGTCAGGTCAGGTGGTCAGAGCTCACTTTAGCTCCTGAGAATTAGAAGGAGGAGCTAGATTATAATTAATCACAAAAAAGATGCACCAAGTTAGTAAATCTGGGATTTAGTGTCAGACAATCATCCATCCATCATCTTTACCTGCTTCTTCCTTTTCGGGTCACTGGTGCCCATATCCAGCAATCACTGTGTGAGAGGTGGGGGACACCCTGGACAGGTCTCCAGTCCATCACATGGACACAGAGACAAACGAGACAAACAACCATTCACTCTCTCACCTAGAGACAATTTAGAGTTACCAATCAGTCTAGCATGCATGTTTTTGGTCTGTGGGAGGAAACCGGAGTACCCGGAGAAAACCCACACATGCACGGAGAGAACATGCAAACTCCACCCAGAAAGGCCCCAGGCCAGGATTTGAACCGGCGACCTTCTCGCTGAGAGACAACAGATGTACCAACTGAGCCACCGTACCGCCTGTCAGATAATCAATTATAAAAATTTAAAAAAACAATCCAAAGATTTTTTTGTTTGTTTTTGCTTTGATTTAAAATCATCTTTGCAAGTTTTGGTGACGATTTGGAGATTTTATTTTATTTTTTTAAACTCTTTGAAATTTTAATTTGCTCATATTGTTTTCGTGTCATGGTACCTTCACAAGATTTACTTGTTTAAAACAGGCAGATTTAAAATTACAGAGCAGAATATAGTTCTGCTTATTACACTCTGTGAGGTCAAAAATATAACAAATTATGGTAATATAAACGACTGCTGACTCATGATTTCACTTCCTCATTAATGGATTCATGACTAAGTGTGGGGAAAAACTTCCTCTAATTGTCGTCATCTTTGTTTTAAAAATCATCTGTGAGTCAACATTTTGAGTCATGGAGTGCTAAAATACATCACGTGTGAAAAACGGTCACACAACCCAAACAATACATTCCAGTTCTGACACACCGGCTCGAGGCGCAGCCTTTAAAATAGTAGAAAAATAAAATCCTATCGATGCTAATCACCATGAGAAGAAAACTATTCTAAAGAAATTATAATTTTTTTAGTTGGTCGCTAAAGTTAATACAACCCATTTCAAATTCTTAGTTCCATTCTTAGCTTTTTATTCTCCTTCTATCTAAATATTTTTATTTCAACCCAACTTTATCTAACGTTTCTAGTCAAATTTCAGAGATCAAAACATCAATTTTCACTATAACCAGGTCGTGGAAATGAAAGAAATGTTTGTTTTTCTCTCTTATACCAGTTCTCAGTGGAAGCTCTTGTTTTTTCTTGGATCGGCATGAATGAACTGAGATTTGGCAGCTGAGGAAACTGAAAACACGCTCCGCAACTGTTGAAATGAGCCAACGCTGTTTGGCTCTGAGTCTGGTTGTTCACCGTAGGAACAAAATCTTTTACAATCTGCGTTCAGTCTGACTCTATTTTCTGATTTATGAAATAAATAATCAAAATCCCCTCTATGAAAACAGAGGTGGGACATATCTTTATGAAAAAAAAAATCACTGCAATGTCTAATTTATACAACCCTAATTATAAATAAATTTGGAACTTTGTGTAAAATGTTAATAAAAACAGAATGCAAGTATTTCCTAATGTCATACACTTATATTTTATTCACATTGAAACATAGTAAATATATCAGTTGTTCAAATTAAAGGTGTACCAGTTTTACGGGGAACAAATAAGATGGTATTGAAATTTATAGCAGCAACACGTCCAGAAACAGTGGCAACGGTGCCATGTTTTCCACTGTGAAGCCTTCCCTTTTCTTTTAACAACAGCCTGTAAATATTTGTGAACAGAGGGGAGCAGCTGCTGGAGGTTTGGGAGGAGAATTGTCCTTTTAATGTCTGAAGTCTCGATGTTCAACAGTCCTGGCCATGCTCTTGTAAAGGATGCAGTTTGTGTTAAGCAATACCTTGCTGAAATAGGCAAAATATTTCCTGAAAAAGTCATCTGGATGGTAACATATGTTCTAAAATCTTTATATCGTTTTGCATTGAAGGTGCCTAACAGATGTGCAAACTGCTCACGTCAATGGCCCTAATGCACCCCCATATCATCAGAGAGGCATGCTTTTGAACTGTGTGTTGATAAGACTGGATGGTCCCTCTCCACTTTATCATGGAAGACATCGTTTCCATAAAGACTTTCAAACTGCAGTTGGTCATGTATTTTAACAGATATGTTTTAACAGATCTTTCAGGGGTTTTTCAGTCAAAGTTTAGAAGTCTCCAAATTCAACACAGGTTTTATAATATTGTATTTTTATTGATTTTTTTTTTTTGTCTTAAGAAGAAACCAAAAAAGACATTAACCACTCGTACAGTCTTTAAGGTTCCATTATTCACTACCAAATGGCTTAGTTGTTTTTTGGAGATTAGAGCCCGACCGATGTGGACATTTTGGCTATCGCTGATGCCGATATTGGAAGGGAGGAGGCAACCGCCAATAACAGATATAGTGGCTGGAAATTTTTTAGCTTTGTCCTTCCCAAAAAATGTAAGTACCAGCGAGCGGAGGGCTTGTTTATTTAGCGCAGCTGCTAGCAATCATGAAGCTAAGCTAATCAGATCCATGCTATACCTAGTCCCACTTCAGGTTTACAAGTTGTGCACTGGTCATAAAAACAGTCGCCCCAACATGCGTTCACGTTTTCTATCCTCCGCTATTCACCACAAAGTTATCAAGTGTGTTACATAAATATAAATTAAACAAAGAAACATCTTCCCTGTTCATTGTTTAAACAGTCAGTCATGTATGGTGAAAGTCTATAATTAGTGTTGACCGCAGCAGTTTATTTTTATTTTTCTTTGCAGAGAATTAAAGATTTCTGACAATGTATTTCATTGAGAACTACAAAGATAATGTTACTAACGCTGATGTATATTCACCTCTATGTTAGATTTATTGTTCTGGATAAAGTTTTACAAGGCAATAACCTATGCTAAATGTTAGCTTGCTAACTTGGACGGCCCATAGCTAATGGCAAGTGGGTTGGAGGATTGAAAATAATTAATTATTGTTGATTTGTTTTACAGATCAGTTAAAATAAACTTACCATCTGTTCAGCTAAATAAACTACACAGTATTGCTCCCTGCTTCATCTGTGATGAACGTCGTTAAACTTAAAATGACCTTGACTTGTCAGTAGTCCACATTGCGCCCTCTGCTGGATACATGGTACAATTATGCCTTGTGCAAGTAAGGACACGGCTCGTTCTCAGCATTTTAGGGGTGAAAATTAAGCCCTATTCGCACGGGATTATTTTTACCTAGGGACCACATGCTATTTGTAATAATTACAGAGATTGTCTGTGTTGTTAATCCTGTGTGAATTGCCTATGTCAGTAATTTGTAAAGTAAATATTCTCCCACAAATTACCTACTATATTTTGCTGAACTCCGAGGTCCTGTGATAATACTAATCCAATGTGAATAGGCATCTCTGTGATTTGGACAGAAACGTGCAGGATCCGATACGTAATTAGGCAGTTTTTGTTTCCTCGGTGCATTTTTATTTGATTTTGGCTGCATTGAAGTGCATAAATAACCTTTTGTGTCCCGGACCAGCAAAAGCCTATCGACCCGTAACAGTCGCCAAAAAAAAGAAAAGGCTGAAGAGAAGGAGCAAAATCATATGCAAATGGTGGCTCATGTCATGAATTGCTCTGTGCGGTAAGAATAATTTCCTTCTGTTTGTAGACACAGCTGGCTAGCGCTGACAGTAACACAGCACCGAGCTGTGGCCGTAGCCTGAAAACTAGTTTTAACATCAGTTCACGTCATTTTTTGAGTCGATTGATAAAGTATACCAGAATTTAAAGAGATGGTAATTGTAATGTTACCAGCTCCTATACTACTACTTCTACTTACAACGGTTAATGAATTGGTTTTATTATTAATTATATAAATGTATAATTTTTATTTTAATTATTTTTTATTATATATATTATTTATTTTTACAGCAACTACATTTCCAAAGATAACACCAAGGGAGCGAGGCCCTTCCTTTTGGGAAATTGAGGTGCTCCATAATTTTACAGAGACAGAGTGGTACCTGAATTTTAGGATGCCTTTAATGTTCTTTGCATCCTGCTTAACCCACACATAAATCCACTAACAACCAGTATGGTTGACCCAGTGTCTGAGAAGAAGAGGGTTGCAATTACATTTACAAGTTGGCTAGTAACATCGAATTCTAGGATGTTGCCAACCAGTTTGGCATTGGAACTACTGCCTGCAACATCTTCTGGGAGGTGTGTGTAGCACTGCGTCAACTCAGGAGTGATTTTGTAAAGAGGTCAAAAACTCTTGGTAAAGTCCAAGCCATCACTGGATGTGAGAGGAAAACACGATTCTCTACGTGTGCGGGTGTTTTGGATGGCACACACACATTCCCATCATTGCCCCTTCAAGCTATCCCACAGACTACAACAGAAAAGGATGGTACAGTGTTATCCTTCCAGGACTTGTCGACCATACACCGCTTCCTTGACTTTGATGTTGGTTGGCCTGGGAAGTGCCATGATGTGTTCGAGTGTTCCTGTCTCTGACGCAAGTTAGTTAGAGGAGGGCACCTTTTTTCCTCCTCTCAGCAGAAACATCCAGGGGTCGACCTGCTGATTGGAGCAGATTCTGCGTAGTCTGACAAGCAACATAATGAAGCCGTTCCCAGCGGGGTGGGGGCAGCCTTCAACGCTCACTTGAGTCGTGCTCGTATACATGTTGAACACGCCTTAGGTTGACTCAAAGGCCGCTGGAGACGCGTTATTAAAAGAAATAACCAAACCCAAAATGTTCAGTATGTTGTGTGTGCATGTGCAGTGCTACACGGTTTCTGCAGAATGCGTCTTACCAGGAGCCCCAGGAGGAAGTGCCTGATCAGACAGAGGCTGGGCCAGAAGAGCATGGGGCATCTGTTCTGTCTCCAGCTGAGCACATCTGGGAGGCCTTGGTTGCTCATACTGACACAATTCCGTGAAGTGCAGTGAACTCATAAATCAAACCTTTTTTTTTTCAAAATCTACAATTTATTTGTAGTGAACACATCCTTTGTTTGGCAAATAACAGCAAGCATTATAAACCTTTTTTAAGCAGCTGTAAACAATCTTCAGTGCATACATATGTATAAATGTATTCAGTGCTTGTATAAAAAATTTAAAAAATGCTAAACACTCAACATGTGTAAACATTGCTTTCCTAAAACAAAATAAGCTCATCCAAAATGTTCAGAAATTTGCAAAATACTGAATTTGCTATTTTAGGACACACTATAATGTAACCGAACACAGATCTGAAAAAAAATTAAAAACAAGACCTGTTTAGTAAACACTTGTTAACACACACACACACACACACACACACACATATATATATATATGACCTGAGAACTAATTCCTTCGTGCAGAATAGCTAGTCACACAAACTTATTGTGGTGGGTCAAAGTGCACTTGATGTGCTGCTGGTGGAGGGGGTCCAGGGGCAGAGGAGGGAAACTCCATGCTCTCAGGTGGTTGGCGGTGAGGAGGTGTAAAAGGGTAGTAACTGGAAGGAGCTGCATAAGGTAAATGTTGTGGGGGGGGCCTAATGCATTGAACCAGCTGCAGCATCAACGCCCTGTTCTCCTCTGCTCTCTTCTCATCAGCTTCCATCTTCTTCATCTCAAAATCCAGCCTTTTTTTTTCCAGTTCCATTCTATTTCTCTCCTTCTCTTTCTCCCATTCAAACCGCTCCCTGTCATAATCACGGCTGTTCGCATGCGCAAGGAGACGGTCCAGACTCTTGTTGATTGCCTTCATTACCCGAGTTTTCCGCTCCTTCCTCCTTCGATGTTCTAAAAAATAGAAATAGAAAAGCAAATAAATTATGACACAAACATCTTATAGCGTCTCTAATATCTCCAATATTACAGTGACTACATTACATTTCAGTTTGGTTTAAAAAATGTAATGTCAAACTGTATTTTAGGGATAAATGTCAATTTAACGGGTTAAATGATAATATCTGAGCATTATGTCATAAGTATGAAAAGCTGGAGGATGTTCCAAGTGTGGGTTTATTGTAAAAGCCCATTCTGCTGCATACATAAAACTTTACTCAGGGTCTAAAGGTCATATTTTTGATAAAAATAAATTAATTAAGCATCGTTTAGAAGCTATACCCCAAACGTGTGCAGCTTTGACCTTTTTTACTTTCTGTGAAAAATGCAAATTAAATGTAGTTTGTGTAATGGTATGTGCAATATGGAGCTTTGGTCTACTGCACTTTGCACATAATGTGGCCTCTTCTGCCACTGTATATAAACAACAGCTCAGTAATTGTTCTACCTATTAAAGTGTTAGCAACATGGGAGGCACCTTGTGGTTTGGGTTTTGGGGTTTGGAGCGGTGGTGATGTGGAGGATGAGCTTGAACTGGACAGGTCAACGTCCGGTGCATCAGTTTCCCCCGAGGTGTTCTGGATCCGAGTGGTCTCAGATGAACCTGATGAATTTAAAGAAAACAGCAGGTGCAGTCAAATAGCAAGTACAGTTTATAGTTCGTTGATTACTGACTTCTAGGTATAAAATACTGTTGAAATGTACATTAACAACATCAGAGTACATCCTGTGCACAAGCCACACTCTTTACTCACCACAGTCAAATTCCTCATCATCTGAACCTCCGTTGTCCATCTTGATTTCTCCTGGATTGTTCATAGGTCGGCAACCTGGAAAAAACATAATAATTCGTTAATAAGCACAAAAGTTTATCGTTAATTCTGATGATGAACTGCTAAAGCAGCACAACGTTACATGCTAACCAAGGATCAAATGGAAAGTGTGCTCGGTGTCGTCTTACCGAGGACAGCGTCCAGTTCTTCGTAATAAGGACATGTGTTTTGGTTCTGTTTGAGGCAATCACGGTACCTCCTTCGAAGGTAGTCCATCCTCTCTTTGCACTTCGTCCACTCTCCGAAATGACGGACAGACGGGCACCGGGCGACAAGGTCATCGTAAATATTTTCCCAGACGGTGTGGTTGTGCACCATTTGTTCAAATTGCCTTTGGTACCTTGGTTCACCCCAAATTTCGATTAATTTAAGGGTTTCTTCTCGCGTCCAGTGTCTGCTTTTCTTCTTAGCGCCTGCCATCTTGAACGCACCGTGCAGTGTTGCCAGATCGTGCGACAGAAACAGACAATCCGCTCCATGAAAACAAGCTCAAAACAGGCAACCAGCTCTATGAAAACAAACCCAAAAGAAGCTCAACTGGCAACCCACCGCAATGTGTAACACAGAGCAAGCAGAACGAAAAGGGATCATCTGCAGACCAAAAGTGGGCGTTTCTGGAGGGCAAACACTGATTGGTTAGCTGTATTTGCTGTTCTTTAGGTATGTTACGTCAGCTCTTTTTTTAAACTGAAGGTTTGTAAGAAACAGCGTTATATCTGCTGTCAAACACAAGAAGATTCTCTTTTGTTCTTGGTTGTAGGCTGCACCTGACACAGGTTGCCTTGAGTCTGGTCTGGGTACAATGAAATATGAAGCATCTGAAGTGAAACCTGCTCCCATTTGTGAAAAAGTCTGGTCTCAATTAAAGATCATGAGTCTTGTAACGAGATCATGGCCCAAAACAAAAGCTAAAAACAAAATTTGCTCTTTAGACGTGCTCTTCTATGAGATCTGATCTTTGAAAGGAGCTGAAACATGGAGTAGGGTTGACCCTTAAAATCTGAGACAGCTGAGGAAGTTAACCATCCATCCATTATCTTTACCCGCTTCTTCCATTTTGGGTCACGGGGGTCGCCGGTGCCCATGTCCAGCAATCACTGTGCGAGGGGCGGGGGACACCCTGGACGGGTCGCAAGTCCATCACAGGGACACATAGAGACAAACAAACATTCACTCTCTCACTCACACCTAGGGACAATTTAGAGTTACCAATCAGTCTAACATGCATGTTTTTGGTCTGTGGGAGGAAACTGGAGTACCTGGAGAAAACCCACACATGCACGGAGAGAACATGCAAACTCCACCCAGAGAGGCCTCCGGACCGGGGTTTGAACCAAGGACCTGCTCGCTGAGAGGCAGCAGCTCTACCAGTTGTGCCACCGTGCTGCCCGGAAGTTAACCAGTAAACAGAAATTCAATTCAATTCAATTCAAAAATACTTTATTAATCCCAGAGGGAAATTATTTGTTGTTGTAACTCGTTATCCTCATTTCATTAAGAGATGTTATAGACACTGATGGTTGTAAACAGGAAGGATCTCTTGTGAAGGTCCATCCCACAGTAGATCCTAAGAAACTGGCTGGAGATGCCGTCTGATCCGTCCACCCAGACTCGGCTGGCATCTCGGTTCCCCCGGGCTGTAGGACCGCCCAAATGCCGGGCAAAACTCCTCCCAGTGCGATGGCCACTCCTCCCAGCAGCCTGCCGAGCTCCTCGTCGCTGCGGACAGCCAACTGTAGGTGCCGGGGGACAATCCTGTCCTTCCGCTGTCATGAGCCGTGTTTCCTGCTAGTTCCAGGATCTCAGGGGTCAGGCACTCGAGCACAGCTGGCAGGTAGATGAGAATGCGTCCACAGAACATCCTTTTCAACTCACTTGAGATTTGGGGCTGTAGTTGAGATTTTATTTGAGCTTTTGAGATGTTAATCAGCTGCTGTTGGTTGTAGAAAACAGCCTTGTTGCCATGGTTACGCATCATAACAAATGTCCAAAACTAAAAAAGTTTCAGTAAAAATCCTTCCAGCTGCACAGCATCTGATACCAGAGGAAACAATCATCACAAAATGTGATTTACATCCAGAAAAAGAGGAACTAAAGTTTCCAAAAGCAAAATCTCAGAATGAAAGTAACAGAGCTGCTCCAACATGCAGCCACCTTGAGCGGCACAATTCTAGAACAATGCCTGCTCCAGTTGTAGAAATCTGACAATCACTCATCTGCAGTGACTGATTTAAAAGGTCGAACAAGAAAATGTGAAGTTAAAGGAAACATCCTTTGCCCCAAATCCAGTTTAAGTATCATTATTATTTTGGTTACTTTAATTTTCGTTATTTATGAATTGATTGTAACTATTTTCACATTATTCAACAACCAAAATGGATTTAGTTTTTTAATGAAATGGCTAGGTATTATAAAACAAACGTTTAGCCCTCCCCACTACCCATTTATGTTACTCTTATTTTGAAATGTAACCAGAAGTTCTGTGTTCAGAGAGGCAGAAAGAGAAGGTGTGGAGACACCGCCAGTGTTGAACCAGAGATGCCGCTAATGTCAAACCAGTTAACACCATAGACATAATATGTGGTTAATACAATCTGCCAATAATGCCTTGTTTTTATTTTTAGACATAATATGTCTGTGGTTAACACAAACGCCTTGGTTTTTTTTCCGTCCAATCGGATGTGGCCCTCCAGATACTCCTTCCGTATTTGTCTGCAGAGATACCTACTTGAGTAGAACCCCTTCTCAAACAGAGGCTGTTTTTAAACCGTAAAAACATACATTTATTATGGCATTATATATAAACAACAACAAAATTATGCTAAACACTTTGAATAACATACTTTTACGCTCTGAAAAAAATAAAAATACATTTTATAACATTAATTCAACCTTTATTTCTACAGAGACACATTTACCAGAGAGACCTGAATTTTAAACAGAGTGATGACAACAATGGACAACAATAACAATAATAGACAATCTGTGCTTTCACCAATTACAAGAGAATACTGAGCATCTCCAATATCACTCATGAGGTCTCTGAACATGCAAGGGGCTATTGCATGATTTATTAATGCGGTGCATTTTGTTTGGTGTATTTTCATCTCACTGTCAGTCGAAGTGGATCCAGTGAGTTCTCCAAGACGGTCCACAGCACTGATTGATGTGTGACAGGCTACATAGGTGGCTATTTTTAGCTTGTTTCTTTGTTTTGTGTCATTGTGTTTTGGGGCAGTGAAATCCAGGTTCGTTAGCCCCATGGAAGAGAAGAGTGCACAGTTTTATTTTGTGCTTCTCAGTATTGGCATGTTGAATTAAATCAGTATGGTGAGCACATATTTCACATTTGCAAAATCTACAGAGTGCCTTCAGCGCATCTCCTATCTCCAACCGCCTGGACGTAACATCCGCCTGGACGTAACATCTGCCTGGACGTAACATCCGCCTGGACGTAACATCCGCCTGGACGTAACATCCGCCTGGACGTAACATCTGCCTGGACGTAACATCCGCCTGGATGTAACATCTGTCTGGACGTAACATCTGCCTGGACGTAACATCCGCCTGGATTTAACATCCACCTGGACGTAACATCCGCCTGGACGTAACATCCGCCTGGACGTAACATCTGTCTGGACGTAACATCCGCCTGGACGTGACATCCGTCTGGACCACAAACTTTACAAGCGACTTTAGAAAAAAACAAGACCAAAGTTGCTTATAATAAGCGGACTTGGCAACTATGACAAGCTGATGTTACGCAATATGCAGCGCCACGTTGACATCATATCCGGAAGATGTCCGTAATAGTGGTGTGTGATCGATCGATACCAAATAAATACTGGTCCAGTATCGCAGATACCGATACGATACTTTTAAATAATTACAGTGAATTTTGATGACGTTCAAGTGTTTTGTGCTTTTTCCTTTGGATCATTTATTAGTTAAAACCCAGGATAGAATTAGGCAAAGTTTATAAGTAAATAAAAAATACTTTATTATAATAAAAGTTTTTCTCTGAAAAAATAGAACAGTAACAAAACTATTTTCCCCAAACCTTGTGATGGCTGGATTTTTTCCTTAAACAAAGTGCACAAAATGATCACTCAATAATAATTTAAAACAGTTTTCAGAAATTATGATATTTAAATAAAAATTTTCTCTTCATTGTACTCCTTTTCTGGATTTTTTTTTTCTTAAATAAACAAACTGTACAAAGTTATCACACAGGAAAAAAAGTTATAAAACAATAAAATATATTTAGGATATAAAGGAATAAAACAAAATTTCTCTTCTTAAGTGAATTTCTTTTCTGGGTTTGAAAAAATAATTACAAATCAAAAATAATTAGTGAAAATACAATAAATAAAGTGTATATAACAAAACAACCTCCAAAGCCTTGAGTTCAAAGAAATATTCCCAGCAGCCTCTCTGTGGGTCCTGCTGCTCTGTGCTGTGACAGGAGCGACACGTACAGACAGTCGGCTCGCATCTTTGATGAAACTGCAGCACTGCATACAGGAGAGAAACTGAAGCTATGGTATTGATATCATTACACTGGTATTGATCAATATCAATACCCGTGCTGGTATCTATATTATCAATGTTTGGGTCGGTCCGCCCACCACTAGTCCATAAATTTCAGCTAAATCTCAGGCTTTGGTTATCCCGTGCGAATGTGCCACATAAAAAGCAGACATTGAGGAGTAATTTATTTATTACAAACATCTATCAGCCTAAAATATTGAGCCCTACTGATATATCGGTCAGGGCCTACTGGAGATGTCCACCTCACAGGGCACCAGGACACGTAACGTAAAGCACTAAATAAAAATTTACACCTGAGTTCTGGAAAAATAACAACAAGCCCTCAGTTGGATTTGCTCTTGACATTTTTCTCCATTTCCCTCCACAGCCAAAGACTTCATCAACTGCTTAATGGAGAAGGACCCTGAGAAGAGATTCACATGTGATCAGGCTCTGGAGCACCCCTGGTGAGGAGAACCTTATCGCCACGCTACGCTGCAGCCACACAATCACAGGAAAACACACAGTGGCGCTGCGATTACACAGCAGCGTGACGCAGATTGCCAGGTTCATGCATTTATCATGGAGAGCTTTTCCTCCCACTGTCATCTGTCACCATGGCTCCGAGCCACGAGCCCACCTCTGCAGGGCACTGCCAGCTCTCTGAGCCAAATCTGCTGAATAAATGGCTGCCAATTAGTGGCTTATCTCCTGAAGGATCCTTGAAGATGTTGGAGGCTCAATGAGCAATTGAGATGTCATCCCAGGCCCGCGTCAGCGCTAATGAGACTGAACCGGCGTGGGTTGACGTCTCCAGCAGACGTGGCAATAAGTCTGTTAGGCAGTAATGGACATTTGGGTCATGGACAGGTGGTCCCTCTGATACGTGGCTTGTGACGGCAGTAACAGATTTCATAATGAAGAGAAATGTCTTTCATAGACAAGCTTTCATAAAGAGATAATGTGAAGAATGTGTCAGAAACAGCAGCCCATCAGTCAACAGTGTTGCAGCCAAATAAAAATAAATGAAGAGAGCAAATATGAAAACAACGAGATGATTCCTCAGGCATGGCAGGGATAAATATAAATCATTCTGGCGTGCTGTTTTGGAATGTGTCAATGTGACTTTTCCTTTTTCTTTTCTAAACAACAACCCAGGATTGCTGGAGACACGGCTCTCTGCAAGAACATCCATGAGTCAGTCAGCCGGCAGATGAGGAAAAACTTTGCCAAAAGCAAATGGAGGGTGAGTTCTCTGCTTTTGTTAATCAGGAAAAAATGTCTCGGTCTTAACGATTTGTCTTTTGCGCCTCGTGTGTAACAGCAAGCGTTTAACGCGACGGCGGTGATCCGCCACATGAGGCGCCTGCAGCTGGGCACCAGCTTTGGAAGCAGCACCAACTCCGTGCCGAGCCCTCAGAGCCGGGCCCCGGCCAAGAGCCAGTCTGTGGACTGCGCCCCGCTCTCCCTGAAGGACTGTGAGTGACTCTTCAGATGCCAACCGTGACCGACACAAACATGCTAGCTCTTTACTCCGCCACGCTGATCTGTGAACCAGTTAATGTTCATGGACACGTCTAATTTAACACATTCATCTAAATACAAAACACTTTTCGTAGAGAACATGTCGACCCACTGCATTAAAAGTTTTTTTAACAATGGCTTTTGTTATGTAACAACTGGTGGGTGCAGCAATTCAGGTTCCTAAAAAGAGAATAAAAAAAACTAAGCTACTTGAATCCAACATCCATAAAGCCAGAGTGCACGTTGTTTTTCACTTTTAGTGAACTGAGGTCCTGAGAAGATGGCAGCATTTTTCTTTAATCTTAGTTGTGTTTATTTCTTCATCCCTAGAGTTTCATCTGCATTTGTTAATGTAAATACAGTAGTCCCTCATTTATCATGGGGGATCCGTACCCTAAAGACCCGCGATAAGTGCAAAAACGCCAAGTAGGAAAAGTAGTTCAAGTATTAAGTAGTAGTTTATTTTTATTATATATATGTATATAAATGTGTTTTAAAGCCTTCCCACACTCTTGCAATATTCTAAACAATGTATCTAAACTTTAAACTCTCTTAAAGAACACAGAATGTCATGATGTCATCTCTCTGCCTCCTCTGCTCTTTTCCACCTGCATGCACTCTTGGCCACGCCCACTTCTCCTCTGCACACTGAACAGCTGATCAGCTGCAGCAGGAAGTTTATCCTGCACTGTGGGCTGCACAAAGGTGCAGGAGGTGCTAAATAATTTTAAATAATTTATTTTAAATAAAAATGCCAGGCCGATCGTGCAGTTCATCCATCAATCAGCCAACTGTGTCATGTCCACTCTCTTTTGAAAAACAGCGAAGTAGCGAGACCACGATAAACGAACCGTGAAGTAGTGAGGGACTACTGTATTCAAGTTTAGCAACAGTGGCTTTAACGCAGTTAATTTTACAAATAAATGACTAAAATTGATTGTGGTAGTAGCTGAGAGTCATCCCTAACACATAACTTAGCCCGACAACTTTGTTTAAAAGTTCGCATGCAAGGCAGTGAGTGATATTTTATTTTAATTTACATTTATTTATACAGGTAGTCTCAGTGAGTCACAAGGACTCATTTTCAAGAGAGACCTGTTTGGGAGCAGATGGTGGGGGTTAAAGGTCTTGCTCAAGGGCTCAGAGTGGTGCAAATGAGGGTGGAGGCAGGTGTGGGTGTTTCACCTTTTCCACCCACATTTTGTTGTTGTCAGTCCTGGGAGTCGAACCTGCGACCTTCCGATCAGGCCCACCTTCTCTAGCCTCTGCACCTCCACTCCCACAAATGCATTCCAAACAGAAAAGCTACTTTCATTTATTGCTTGTAATTTAAAGATAAATTTAACAAAAACATTTTTTATTTTTTCAATTAGCTTTTTAAAGTTGTTTTTATTTTTCTGGTGTGTCTACGGGCTGTTTCAAGGTTTTAACAAACCCCCTCCATCAAGTTTTTACATGCAGTTTTCACTTAAATCTAAACTTTTGTATTTGTTTAGTAAATTACTGGATCTTTTTATTTTTGTCCAGATGGTTCAAATGTTACACTTTTATCAACCGTTTTGCTGAAATGAATGAAACTGTCATGATCCCAGCTTATAGTTAGTTTTGAGACTATTTAAAAGTTAAAATTTTAGAAAAGTGCACCTTTTCGAGGAACACTGTACGTATCAGCATGACAACGTTCTGAAAAGAGATGAGTGATCAGCGCTCAGACTGTGAGTTGAGGCTGGCTCTGAGTTTCTAACATGTTTCAGCTCAACATGTGTTGGACTCAGTTGTAGCCATGTTTGTTTGCTGATGTTGGTTAGCGGTGTGCCGTCTTGGATTGGAAAAATTAATCAGATGTAAAAATACATTGAACCTTCAGAGAGTTTCAATAAAATCTCTTAGGTGGTTCAGGACATATTTTGCTAACAGACAGACAGGCAAACATCGTCATCACCTTTCATATAAATTAATTGTGCATTTAAAACTATAAATTTTTAATATTGTGCTATTTTCTGCCATGTGGGTGAAAATAATAGGACTCGGTGCAGTTTATAATTGTAGGTTATGGTCTTCATTTGATTCATTATCAATAATTAATTTTTTTTGTTTGTTTGTTTCTTGTATTCAACACAGTTCTGAAGAAGTATTTTTTTTCCACAGGTCCCCCCATAACTCCTCTGAAATCTGCCATTAAAGCGCACAATCAGGACTCTGATGGTCCTGCTCCCATTCCATCAGAGGACCCAGCGGTGGTGGCTGAGCCCCCTCGGCCCAGACCCTCCACCGTTACGGTCATCCACACTGGGACTAAATGACGCCAGGTTCCGCGGGAGGTCAGCTGGGAGACCACAGAGCTTTAAGACCGGGGTGTAAGAAAAATAAAACCCACCCCAGGCCTCTTGAGTCAACATGGTCGCCTAGTTTTCCCATCCCGCCGCCTCCCGTCTGTTTTTGCCAAATCTGGGAGGAATTTGAGGAGCTCCAGCTCAGCACTGCTTCCCTTGCTGCTGTCCTTCAGCCCTGAACGTGTGGAGAGAAGCGGAGGAAACTCGCCTGAAGTTCCTGCTGAGAGGATGGTTCTCTGAGCAGCTGCTGTGGAAGAGACCTCACCGAGAGGTGAACTCACCGCAGCTTCTGTCAGTGTTGACCGTGACGGGACGTCCTGCTGTATGCCTTGTGTAAATATCCTGCCTGGAACCGTGGAATCGTGTGATACAAGTGGAAAAAACAAACGTTGTGGTTAATGACCATCATGTGCACCTCTGGACTGGTTTCTGTTCGGACAGCTCGTGCTGCACGGCCTCATGACTTCCAACAGTACGATTGTGGTGGATGCTCCTACCACCACCACCACATCGTGTTAGCGACTGTCAGTGTTGTTTTTGCTTTTCAGTGTGTGGACGTGAAATAAAACAGGTATCAGTCATGACTGTGATCACAAAGTGGTACATCACACTTATCTATTGGAATATTTATTTTCTTATAATATATTTTGACTTTTGTAAGACTTCCACTTGGAGAGAAATGTTTTAATGTTTATTAAGGCTGGACTGAAAATCTGCTGTATTGTCCTATGAAGGTATATAATCTTAGTAGTTGTTATTTTGCTGTTTTATCTCAAGTTTTTTTAATTTAAAAATGTGACTGTGAAGTCCTCTTTAACCACAGGAGGGCGCCACGGGTTGTTGCTTTATGACCAGTTCTCAGGGATCTGCAGGGATGTGAACAGGATCACCTCTGTGTGATCTTAATGATCCAATGTGCCACAAGGAGAGCTGTTTACTTCCTTTAAAACCACTGACACTATTTGACCCTTTTTCAAACCCTGATTTATATTTGGAAAATGTGCATTCATGATTGTAGGTGATGTGACAAGACATTCTGGGTAGTTTTTGTCTCCGGACAGGGTGAAATGAGTCGGGGTGAACGGTGTACAGATGAAGTTGCTCTGCTTCCACTCTGAGAACAGCTCAGCCACTTGGTGTTCAATCACTGTGCTTTCATACCAGCCTGTTGAATTTAGCAGAAAGACTTTTTTTCCGTCTCTCTCTTTTCACACAGAGAAGAGATCTGTCTTTGTAATTCTCTGTGGTTCTTCTACGTAACGGCATTCTCTCAACTTGAATGTGGAAACAAACAAAACAAAAGGGAACGCTCCTTCAGTGCATGGCCAGCGTCAGGGGCTTTGCTATCTTGAATTGTTTAGAAAATGTGGTGCATCTACTTACCGTAAATACAAAACTCTACAACATGTACTTGGGTTTTGTGTCTTTATTTTTGCATGTGCTCAACCTAAAATAAAAGGAAAGAAAATAATCAAGCACAAGCCAGTGTATCTCTGGTTCTGGTCCCAAGTCTGGTTTAAAAGGTGAGTTGTGTTAGGAAGGGCGTCTGAAGTAAAACACTTTTGCTAAGAATAATATGCGACCTCATCTAAGTGACACATACCTGACTGGTCGAGGCCCAAGTTAACAACAACCACCACCGGTACTGTTGACAAACAAGGTGCCGATGGAAATTGTGCTACTGTTAGTCGAAGACCACGAGGAGGAAAACGTGTCAGGAGAGAGAGGAAGAAGAGGAAAGTGAAGAATGTAGGACTGAGGGTTGCAACTCTAAATGTGGGGACAAAGACAGCCAAAGGTAAGGAGCTGGCTGACATGATGCAGAGAAGGAAGGTAGATGTTTTATGTGTCCAACAGACCAAGTGGAAGGGCAGCAATGCTCGCAGCATTGGAGCAGGGTTCAAACTGTTCCACATGGTGTGGATATAAAGAGAAATGGGGTAGGGGTTGTCCTGAAGGATGAGTTGGCAAAGAATGTAGTAGAGGTGAAAAGAGTGTCCGATAGGGTGATGTGTCTGAAGGTAGAAGTAGAAGGTCTGATGCTAAACATTGTTAGTGATTATGCTCCACAGGTTGGATGTGATGGGGAGGAGGAGAAAGATCAATTTCGGAACAATCTGAATGAAGTGATTGAGAGTATTCCCAGGGAAGAAAGTAGTGATCAGAGCAGACCTGAATGGACATGTTGGTGAAGGAAACGGAGGGGATGAGGAAGTGATGGGTAGGTTTGATGTCAAGGAAAGAAACCAGGAAGGACAGATGGTGGTGGATTTTGCAGAGAATGGAAATGGCTGTAGTCAATACCTATTTCCAAAAGAGGGAGGAACATAGAGTGACCTAGAAGAGTGAAGGAAGGAGTACGCAGGTCGATTACATTCTGTGTAGAAGAGAAAACCTGAGGGAGATTAGAGACTGTAAGGATGTGGCAGGGGAGAGCGTGGCCAGACAGCATCGGATGGTTGTGTGTTGGCAAAGGGGGAGGTAACAAAGGCTAAAAAGAAGGTGTATAGTGTGTTGTACAAGAGGCTGGACAGTTAAGGAAGGACAGAAGTGCTTGTACCGATCGGCAAGACAGAGGGATTAGACTGGAAAGGATGTGCAGCAGGTTAGGCTTGTTAAAGATAGGTATGGTAATGTTCTAACAAGTGAGGAGTGTGTGACAGGAAGATGGAAGGAGTACTTTGAGGAGTTAATGAAAGAAGAGAATGAAAGAAAAAGAAGAGTAGAGGTCATAGAAACTGAACCAGGAAGTGGGAAAGATTAGTGAGGGTGAAGTCCAGAAAGCTCTGAAAAGAACGAAGACGGAGAAGGCAGTAGGACCTGAGGACATACCAGTGGAGGTTTGCAAATGTCTTGGAGAGATGGCAGTGAGGGTTTTGACTCAAATATTCAATGGTATATATGAGGGTGAGAAAATGCATGAGGAATGGAGAAGAAAAGTGCTGGTGCCCATTTATAAGAACAAGGGTGATGTACAGAGTTGTAGTAACTACAGAGGAATTAATCCAATAATGGTCAATCAGGCCATCTGGACAGTTTCTTTTTTGTGGAAAGACGTTTCACACTCAATCATAGAGGGTGACAGAAGGCGAAACGTCTTTGGTCATGGATGCGGTTAGCGAGGACATGGAGTTAGTTGGATTGAGAAGAGAGGATGCAGAGGACAGAGTGAGATGGAGGATGACCCGCTGTGGAGACCCCTGAAGAGGGAAAAGCTGAAAGAAGAAGATAAAATGAGGACGTTTTTAAGTTCACATTCATCAAATAATGCACAAATGTTCTACAAATACATACAGAGTGCATGTTCTTTGGAAAAAAACTCAGCTTATACATATATATATATACTGTATATAAATATAT